AGGTATGGAAGTCCCCACGGGAGAAGCGGCTACTGTTCAAGGAAAACCCACTTCCGTCTCACACACATGAACAGACCCAACCACGTGAGAAATTAAAAGACGACCAGAGGAAAAAATAAGGAAATATTTTAGCCAGGCACAGTAGCACATGCACATAATCCCAGCTCCTCAGGAGGCTGAGACAGGAGGACTGCAAGTTTGAGCTCAGCCTGGGCAATTTAGCAATCTAGTGAGGCTCTGTCCCCCCGAAAAAAACCAGCTGGGGATGAAGCTCAGTGCAAAGGCCCTGGGTTCAATTCCCCAGGACCCCCCCCCCACACACACACACGTATTTTTACAATCTTAAATCCATTCAAGAAAGATCAACTGTTGTGATTTTTTTTTTTTTTTTTTTTTTGGTTTTGGTTTTTCTCCGGCACCAGGAACCGAACTCACGACCTTGCACTTAGGCAGGCGCTTTGCCGCTGAGCTAAATCCTGAGCCCCAACTGTTGTGTTTCATTAAAACTTAGCACTTAGATTATTGTGAATGTTTAAATATTATACATGTTGTTTCATTGTATTTCTTTCTTCACAAAGTTTGATCCCCATAAAGCTAATTGTTTTTTTACATTGTAGATTGCTGAGTTTTCTATATATATCTAGGAAGCTTTCACATCTGACCCCTGATATTACTGTAAATGTTTGCTTGTTATCTTAGCAGACATCTGTATTACTGTTAATTTATGTTAATTTTGTCCTCCTGGAGACACTGCTTCTCTGTCTCTTGTCCTCACTGGGCCATGGCACCAGTGCAGTCATCTGACATTTCACATATAAGGCTAAGTTAAGGGAATTTCAAGTTGTGTGTGTGTGGGGGGGGTTACTGAACAGTGGGTTTCAACATAGGGTGACTTGAGTAAGTTGCTTTATTGTATCAGCACTTGATTTTCAGTACTTTTAGATATTTTCTGTTAACTTGATCATATTTACTACTAATAAATCTGCTATTGCTTCACCTGAAGAGAATGAACTGGATGCCAAGAGTATAAAATATCTGAAGTCTCAGTAATCATAGCAGCACCCTGGTTTAAGCATAATATACATCATTGTATCTGGTGTCTCCCTATTTATCATCTCACTGTATCTGCTTGAGTAAAGACATTCACACTGACCAGATGAGCATTTAGGGTTTCTTCACATCCTCCTGTACCCAACCCCTCCTTCACCCCCCATGCCTAAAGAGGCCGCTGGTACTGCCAGCTCCTAAGCAATTTTGGGTTCTGTGACACGAACTGCTGCTTCTCAGCTTCCTTGCTGCGGGTTAGGTTTTGGCCTCTTCATGTCTGTTTTGTTAGCTGACACTGATTCATCTACTTTCCAGCTTCTAAAATCATATTGCTGTCTACTGTCTTGGCTCCTATGGATTTATGCTTTTTCATTCCTTTATTTCCATTATAGTATTTTATGGAGCTGTAGAAGTAAATGACAGCTTAAGCAAGCATATATACTTATATTTGGGTTAAGTTTTTAGCAAGTATCTCAAATCATTTTAATAGGTGGTGTGTAACTAAAGAGTAAATAAAAAGTGAATGAATATAAACTTTTAGCTCATAATCTAGATATTTATTACGAAGAATTTCTCTTTGTTTTTAATATATATTTACTATGGATTTTCTTCCTTTCACTTTCGAATACAGGTGGAAGCTTTAGACAAAACCGATCAAACTTCACCTCTCTGTTAGTACAGCCCATTTCTGCATCCCTTGCTGCAAAACTTATCTCCTCACCTACAGCTGGAACCAAAAATGATATCTGTAGTCCTCTGGAACTTCCATATAATGGTAAGGTGTTTAATGTTCTTCAGGGTTAACTGTAGTTTTTGTAAGAACTGTGATCATTTAAAAAAATCTCTTAAATTGACATGTTTAGGATTATTCTTTTCAGAAACATTGATTTTTGATGAGGTGAACATCTATTTTCTTTTTACTCTGTAGGGATAATTTTGCAAAGTAGTTTTGATAAAGACTGAGAATTGACCAAGCTAAGGGTTGAGAGAGAGAGAGAGAGAGAGAGAGGGAGCATTTTGAACTGCTACAAAGAAAAGTAGCTTTAAAAATAAAGCATTTTGTACATGCACAAAAATCTGCTTAATATAGCATCCTAGTTTCAGATAGACAGCTTAACATAGCTTCCCAGATTCAACAGCATTACTGCCTGCCAAGACTCAATGGATACCAGGCAGCTATCTGGGGTATGAAGTCTTTTAGTATAAAGCATTAAAGCCTAATTCCTGCAACGGACTAAAAACAAAAATCCCTCTGTCTATACGCATCATGGCCCAAGAGATGCTTTTTCTACAGCGAGGCAGTTTGTCAGGCCTTGTTGGACCACACTGGATAAGATTGAAGTAGTTAAGCTACCCGCGGTGGGATAAAAGCCACCGGCAGTAGGGCAGCATCTTATTGCTGCCTCCAGCTTCAGCATTAGCGTTCTAAAGCAGAGACTCTCTTTACATACTGTTCCATTTGCTTCTGGTTGCTATGAAATACCACAGAAGGGCTTTGGTTTTTGTGTCCAGAGCTGGGGCCTCTGCTAGCTGCATTTCATCTTGTCTGTTTTTCCGTTGATAACAAAAGCCTTAAAAATGTTTTGAAGAAACCTTTTTAAAAGTCTGGGTGTATTCAGGATGGCTCTCTGTTAAGAGATATTTACTTTTCAACAACTTGCAGATTGAGACCCTCCTAAACTCATTATCAATTGAGCAAAGCAGACAATATAAAAATGGTAATTTGCCTATGTCCTTGAAGCAAGAATGAAGCAGCCCATCTAGGAGCTTTTCGTTTTGCTTTGTTTTTTTTTTCTGTCATCTATTCTGAACCACAGGAACTAATCATGAGCTCTATTCCCTAAATGTACGAGCAACATCAACATAATATTTTACCAATAAAGAAAGTGCTGGACCTGTGAAGGAGTAGATTTAGGACTGTATTTAATTAATAAAATCAATACCTGTTAGAACTCCTAATGCATTCAAGCTACCTTCCCGATGCCAGGGATTTGACATTTCCCATGCCAGCACCATAACTGCTCATGAATTACCTTTCCACCAGAAGTCTTTATGTTTACGTTGACAAAAAGAGTAGCCAGCCTTTTATCATCTCATGTTATTTTGCAAAATGAAGTGTGATATATGTCCCAATACTTTTACATACTGGAAAATGTCAAGAGAATTAGAAAGTTGCTTCCATATCAAGTAACTGTAGCAACTGCTTTCTCAATGTGCAAATAATGCCTTAGCAAAACACAATGACACTAGGTAGCTCTATATCCATAATAAATTTACATGTGTGAAGCCTGTAAGGAAAAGTGAGATATATGCTGAAATCTATTTATAGCTCCATTTTCAAAGAAGCAACAAGATAGAGCTATCTTCTAAGGAATTATGCCATAGCAAGTTTTCCTCATGGATATAGCAGTGAATATTGATTTTTAGAAAAACTCAGACAGAGGCCAGGCATAGTGGTACATGCCTGTAATCCCAGCACTGGGAGGCTGAGGTAGAAGAATCAGTGTGAGTCTGAGGCCAGCCTGGGCTACAAAGTAAGTTGAGACCAACCCGAACTGCAAGTGAAACTGTCTCAAAAATGCCAAAAAATCAAAAAGAAAGAAAACAGACAGATATATTAAATCACTAAGAAGATATTTCATGCTATAATGAAGCCTTAATTTATTAAAACATCTAGTATTACATTTAGATTTCCAAACACAAGAAATGTAGAAAAATGGCCTTTTACCCCAATGTTTTGGATAACAATGCTCATGATAATTATTTTAATTATCTTCATCCAAGATAATTGACTTTTGTGTTTTCTAATAAACACCTATATAGTGCATTCATTGTTCACTATGATATCTATCTAAATGGAAAATTAAAATAATACTAATCGAGGAGCTGTTCTTTTGAGCAATAAGATCAATACTTATTTTTTATGGATTAAAAGTATTTGAAAATATATTTTATTATTGAATTTCTAAGTATATTCTTGATTTTATTGTAGGAAAATCTTCACTAATCAAATTTGGATGCAAATAGAGTAAAAATACATGTAGAAATCAACTGCTTGTGTTACCACTTAACTATTTTTATATAATCATAATTTTCTAAAATCAAGACAACAAGGTAGTAGAGGTTTTCCTACTATGTGTGGTTTCTCAATATCTGATTTCCTACTCTCCATTCTGCCACATTTTTAAACAATATGAGTACCTTTGGCCAAAATCTATACATAGATTATGAATGGCTCAATCTCATTCAAATATTACATTAACTATATTGTAACAACTGATGGCTGACCAAAGTCTGACCAAACAGCACTAACACTCAGTTCTTAACTTTGAGCAGTGACTCTCATTTCAACACTAGAAAAAGAAAGCATGTACCTCTGGATTTGTGTAGTCATGTCTGGACCTTGAGAATGTATCCTACTGGAAAACAGAGCCGGAGCCAACTCAGAATGAAAGACAAAGGGAGGGAGGGGATGGGGATTTAGCTCAGCGGCACAGCGTCTGCCTGGCAAGTGCAAGGTCCTGAGTTCGATTCTCGGTACAGGGAAAAACAAAACAAAACAAAACAAATACCAAAGGAAAGACAAAGGGAGGGAGACTGAGAGGGAGACAGAGAGATAGATGAGAGAGAGGTAGATTTCTATCACTTGGGAGCTAAACAAAGCTTATCTGGAACCAACTAATTGAAGTGTTTATATATATGAATACTATATATATGAATGTGATATATATATGAATAACTATATATATGAACACTTTTTTGTTTTATCAGTTTTATATTTTGTTCTCATTAGTTATCAACCAGAAGTTACCTAACTGATAAGGTCATAAAATTTTAACTAAACAAAGCAATTCGCTGTCTGCATTCACGAAACAGGCTCAGTGAAGTGACATAGTAAGCAAGACATTTGTGGAGAGATCTATGGGAGAACTAAAACAATTGTATGAAGAATGAAAAAAGAATTAGGGGAAACTTCCTTGGCTTAATAAGTGCAGATTATTTCCATTGATTAGCTAATTGGACACTGACTGCATTTCATTTCCCTGAATCTTCCTCTGTAGCTCATACCCATCATACCCACTGATCTAATGTGTTGTCAGTCTTTGTTCTTGAGGTTCAGTTAGAACACAGAAATTTTAATTATCAAAATCAATATGCCCTGTGGCTAAAATCAATGAGCATAGTGAAAGCTGAGATGAAAAGTTGCAAGATAGATTTATGTAATTTAGGGAGAAAACTATAAATGAATCAAGTTAAAAAGAAGTATTTGCATAAATTTGATGTGTCCACTGTTTTAGGAAAAAAAAAAAAAAACCTATTTCTATATTGCATGAAACTGAGCAATGATTACAAGATTTACATAAGTTTAAGGCATATTTCTTAAAATGGATAAATATATATGTAATCTCCTTATGCACAATTTGACATATTTTGTGATGAAAGTGAGTTCTATTATAAGAATATAATATCTAACTAATAATCTAACATAATTTTTACCTACCCTATTTTAAATACCTTTATAATTTGTTAGTAGCTACTAAAGAATTTATTACTAGTGTTTCTTAAGTAGAGATTTAAAAACATGTATTGAGCATATTATTATTGTAAATTATTACACATAAATTTATTTATTGTCAAATGGTTCATTTTAACTTTCAAAAAATCTATTTACATGAAACGTTAGCAAACTTCAGTCTGGCATTACTTTTTTTTTACATGCAAAACAAATCAGTGTTCAGAGTAGCTCCAAAATTACTACCTGTGAGAAAAACCAAAATTATGCTATTCTAGTTAAAGAATCTAGAGATTACTATTTCTATCTATTCATCAATCAATTTATCTAGCTAGCTAGCTAGCTATCCATCTATGTCTCTGGATATGTTAATATGTATGTATATATCTATCTATATCTCAATAGACAGCGGAGTAGTATGCATCTGATATGATGTGGCCTGCTTTAATTCCCACTATGATAAGTGAGTAACCTTTTTGGCCATATCCAGAGTGTTTTTTTTGTTTTTGTGTTTGTTTTTGTTTTTCTCCGGTACCGGGAACCGAACTCACGACCTTGCGCTTGCCAGGCAGGCGCTTTTTGCCGCTGAGCTAAATCCCCAGCCCCCATATCCAGAGTGTTATGATTTGTGTCTCGATGTACCCCTAAAGCCTCGTGTGGTCAAAGAATTTTTTCAGAGGTGGCTGAATCTAGACTTTGTGATTGATTTGTAGTGCAATCCTGGGATTAAGAGTGAGTGCTAATTGGATCAGTCCACTGATTGGATTGGAACTTCCCTAATCCCAGCCGTCTGGATGAAATAAAAGGGGCAGAAGAGGCTTGTTTTCATCTTTTTTGCTATTGTTTCTTTTGGTATCTTCTGGTGCCATGACAGTTGCACCTCTGCCATGCCACCCTGTTTTAGAGTCAACCAATTATGGACTGAAACCCATTTAGCTACAAACCCTAGGCTAAATAAATTTTTCCTCCTTTAACCTTAGGTGTTGGTTATCTTGTCTCAGCAATGAGAGAAAAGTAACTAAGACACAAAAAGCTTCAGCAGTCCTAAAAAGATAGAACTGCAAACTTGTTGGAGAACAGGGTTGGTATGTTAGTCAACTTTTTGTAACTGTAACAAAAATGCCTGAGATGTGCAACTTATAAAGATGAAAGGCTTATTTTGGCTCTGAGTTTTGGCCAAGAGGATCTTGGCCCTGGGTCATGGCAGAAAGTGTGTGGGAGGGGAAGCTCTTTACCTCATGGCAACAAAAAAGCAAAGAGGA